TCTGGCATGCTTTGCAATATATTGCAAATGAATTATCTTTTTATGTACTTCAAGTTCATATTATTTTATTCGAGGATCTAGATGTAAAAATGATAATTCATTCCGCGTAACTTTTTCTCAAATGTTATCATCTCTCCCCATCATGTTAGAAAAACTAACTTGCTTCATCATCTTTGTGCGTTATGGTGTTAATCAAAATATACACCACACATCAATAATAATAAGATTGAATTATTTGGTTCCTGACTGTGAACCACTTGCGAGGGGAGAATGTAATATACTTTCGTATATAACCTATATCAAACTGACATAGATAACTTTGTTCTCATAAGAAATAGTTTAGCTATTAAGTGGAGGCACTCAATAAATTATTTTGCTAAACTAACTGTGATATAAACCAACTTATCAAGATGAACTATCTTGAATAAAAAATCTGGAAAGTATGCTCTAAATCAAATTATTGAGCAAGTTACCTCGCAAACACCATGTTGCGGGTTAATAATAATCGCACATGTAATCATCTCATAGATGCATCTTATGTGATATACATGGCAGGTTAATGGGCCCATATTCACCTTTGATAATTCCAGCATTCATGGGATTCAATCCCAATTTTAGTTGGTCTATTAATTAGTGAGAACAAGCAACATAAGAGAATTCATAAAGAACTTTCTAGTCCTTTAATATTTACTCATGTGAATTCTCTTTTATTTTTGTACATCATACTTAAATCAAGATTGCTCAATACGCCATGCTTGATAAAATTGTCTGTATTAGTAAACTTCAGGTTTACATCATGATATGTGCAATTATCAATAAACTTCAAGTTTATTATGATATGAGTTTTTATACCAACAAACATTCAGTTTATTGTGGTATTCTTTTATTTGTGTAGTACAAATTGGAGAATAAAGTGGGTAGTTTTTCACATACATATTACCTGCTACAAATTGTAGTAATAGAAGATATTAAATCTTTCTTTATTTATAGTCTCAATATAATCAACCGCTTTCGCGTATACTTTGGAAACTGAATAAGTTTCTTTGAGACTTGCTACAGCACAATACCTTATTGGTAATCAATTGTGTTTCTCCAAAATAGTATAACTGGCTCTTGAAGAGTTCTCAATTAATTTTGTACTACCACATATTCATCAACATCCATATGGTGAATATCTCTTTTAAAAAGAAAGTTATACCATTATGGTTATGGTCAAAATTATATATGCAAGATCTGTTTCTTGCATTACCGTTGTCTTTTAATAATTACAATGCCAAAATATTTTGGCGTACAATAAGTATGTGACCAATGACCATTTATGCCATAATAATGATATTATTTTCTTGTTTCATCTCAAACCTACTTCTAGAGGTGAGTGTGGTATATACCACTAGCACACTCATATTCTTCCAAAAAAAATATGTATTCATAAATCAGATGTTGTCACATTCACATCATGAATGGACCATAATCATCTATATGTGCTTTATAAAATCTCATGTCAAATTGATGACAAATATTACTTTCACAAAGTGAAGGATTATTTTGAAAATCTTTATTGTTCTCGTTGTCACAATGATTACGATTATAATTTCGTCTATTGCCACGTCCACATCCATTGATACATTCATAGTAATAATTTTGTCTTCTTTCAGACTTATTACATACTGTTATCATATTCTCTTAAGGGAATGAGAATGAAGCAAATTCAATAGGACGAGTTTCCACTTCTTGTGCTCACGATCATACATGACTTTGATCATGACAAGACATAGAAATTTTACCACTTCAGGTGGTTATAATTTCTTACTAACTCCATTAGAGTTATAATCAAAATTTATTTTCTTTGCTTGTATTTAAAATCAAATTATAGAATGTCAAGAATTTAAAAGAGAAAAATAAAGTAAAATACTTACCTTAAATCTAGAATTTAATCATGAAGAAAGTTCATGGAATAATTGACAATCATTACGCTCAATCCCAAAGCTTCTACTCAATTGGTTAGAGTCTCGTGCTGATAACGTGTTATGAAACGATAAAAGAAGAAGAGTATTGCAGAGCAAAGTAGAGAGAGAGAGAGAATTCTTATTGATATGGGATGAATTACAATGGAATAGAACCCTCTATTTATAGGGAGATGATGATTTAGCCACCAAGTAATAAACCTTAGAATCTCTCTAAATATAGACATTCACCATAAATAAAATTCTATTTATAACATAAAGGATATAATTGAATTTATTAATTGAAGGCACTAATAATGGGTTAGAAATCGTTTAATGAGAAATATATACAATTTATAAAAAAAAATCAAGTCAATTTTGGTAAATATCAAAATTTAGTTATTTCGGATAAATAAGTTTAGCATTTAGTATGTCTATAAAAAAAAACATGTAATTAAACTGACAAAGCTAGGCCTAAATCCACATCTGTTAATACTTAACAAGTACTTACTCAGATCCATTTCATTTTATGTGTCTTACTTTTTTTGTTAATCTGTTTCAAAAAAAAAAAAAATACTTCTTTATATATTTTGTAACTCTTCTACTCTAACTTTCCACATAACATATTTAAAACCAGAAAATTCAAAGATACTTTGATACATTACACAGATGTTTAACTTAAGATCATAATATTTAAAGTTTTTTACTTTTCTGAATTTCACATCCGATTAAACTTAAACAAATAAATTAAAACGGAGGGAGTATCATTTATGGAGCTGTCCCAACTGTGCCAAATTCTTGTACTAGTAGTAAAAGAGAGAAGGGAAGAACGGAGCCCGAAACATAAGGAAAGGATGACGCGCATGCACATGCATGGAACGCCCTAGAATTAACAGGCGCGCGTGCCTTTTTATTTTATAATTACTCATCTCTCTCTAATATACTATACTATCATTTTTATTTTACTCCAGAAAACGACAGCTTCTAAAAGGCAAGTTAGCAATCCATACAGTATTTTAAAGAAATATTAACTTAAATAATTAATTAGCCAATTGCTTAAATTATATATCGGTTATAAAAATAAATTGTAATCGGATACGACTATTTTGGTAAAGATCCCATTTTTTACCAGAAATATTCTAATAATTATCTAATTCCCTTATGACATATTTATAAACTGTCAATCTGATCAGGGGCGAAGCTAGAGTGTCGAGAGCGGATTCGGCCGAACTCAGTAGCTTTGGTTCGAATCATGTATTTGTTTTAAAAGAATCATTGAATATGTATAAATTATTAATTTAGAACTCAATAGCATAAGACGATTAAAATCCCGAACCCATAAGCTTAAAATTCTGGCTTCGCCTCTGATTATTTGATCGGTTACTTCTGTAAAATCCAATTATCCGAAAACCATGAAAAGAAAAATCAGAAGCGTAGATGCCCTTTAATATAAGAATTTACTTATATACAATGACAGTACTAATATAACGTTATTATATATTTTAACATATTATAATAGGTAAACTACTTTATATTTCAATAGGTCTGAATAAACCGTATATAATCATCTTTTAGGAGTAGTTATAGAGTAATTTATTTTATATACTTGAAATATATCCATAGTTAATCTCTAAAATATAATAATAATAATAATAATAATAATTTGGAATGAGGGTAAAAGCTAAAATAACAACAAGCTGACACAAAGAACATCTAGGGAAGCGAGAAAGAGGAACACCTAAAGCAAAGAACTTTAGAACCCCCAGAATCAAGTGTAATTCTAATTCCTATCTGTCTTCAAACCCCAAGTAAAGAATAACAGAAACCA